TAGCAGGGGTGCAAGTCTGGCTTTAACGTGTGATGAAGCAAAAAGTATGTAGTTCCCTTAGTTTAGCATTGTATTACTGATGGTTTGTGACCAACTTCTCCAAGATCACTTTATCATTATTGGCTCTTACCAAGATGGAGATGCACTTCAGATGGAGTGAGAAATATGAGCAACCATTGCAGTCTCTGAAGTGTGTTTTACTAGAAGTCCCAATGTTGGAATATCCATGACAAAATTTTGAGTTCCTGCTAGTGAGTGCCATTGATAGTGGAATTGAAGCAGTGTTATCACAGTTGCAGGAAAGAGTAGAACAAGTAATTAAGTACATTAGTTATAGGTTCATGGATCCTAAATGTAGATACTCTACCAAAAAGAAAGTCTGCTTGCATTTCTGGTCTTTTTAAAGCTTTCAGCATTGCTTTTACAGGTAAAAAGTTTACTGTTTGACATGTATACTATATTTATATACTACAATTTTCTCTCTTCTTTACTTCAGACTCTAATAATGAATACTTAAGTTGTGGTCACAATAAATGAATAAATTCAAAACAACTTCTTTAATGTAAAATCAGGAATACTGCACAACATAAAAACAAAATGTTTTTAACTACAAAAACATAATGAAAAAAAAACCTTCACCACAGTAGCAAAAATAAGCCCTTTAATTCCATTAAAGCATCAAATGAAAATTTCCTTCATACAATAGCATTTAAATACAATAAAGTGAAACAAATAACACAATTCTTTACTACTGCACAGATCACCCATAAACTGGCTATTTAGACCTATACTACATATAATGAAGAATACACATATATACATACAAATTAAAAGCCACAGCAGAGAGTCTAATATGGATTTACTCTAAAAAAACAATAAAGCTGGAACATGTAGAACTTAATGAATGATATTTGTGTAGTTTGTTGTGATTTGCCACATTGTCTTTCTTTTCACTACCTCACTTTAGTTTGATTGTATTATGATGATTCGATTGTCTTATGATAAATCATACCAAATGAGTTATTTCCAACAACACGAGTAACAGTCTAAGATATTTCCTGTGGTTGTCATATTACTAACCTGGAGTTCCCAAAACTGTAGTTGCCTTTCTGGTATTAATGAAAGACACGTTCTGTAAAACATTAGGTCCCTAGCTAGGGATTGACAAAATTTTGGTCACATTTCACCCTCAGATCTTTACCTTGCATGAATTACTGCAGCATCAGATGAAATCAGCATAATAGAATGAACTTATTTATATGCATAAAATCAGCTACAATCAGGCCTAAAGATTCCCAGAGTTTTCCTTGGTACTTCAAGATACTCCTTAATGTCACAAAATTGTCTGTATTTTCCTCTGGCAGCTCGAATAAGACTAGGAAGTTTAAACATACAAGAAAATGGAACACCACTGACTAATTGGGGAAAAAATAGCCAAAACCATCAAAACCATTCAGACTGAAAATGCATGAACAGATAAATTCTAATTGGTCATTGGTCAGCTAGGTGCATAGGTTGGAAAAGGGTCATAACTGTCTAATTATAATCATTACTCCCCTCTAGAACTACCTTTAGACGAAGAGTCATCAATGGATTATCTTGGTCAAGCACCATTCTACAGAGTTCACATGTACTCATGCTCTAATCACCCATAGAACTTTATAGGCCACAGGCTTCATTGGGTATCCACTTGACCAATATCTTAATAGCGATGCTACCCCTGTTAGCATTTTCATGACAATGGTGGCATACTTATCCATCCACTTAGATCCATTCCTTCCAGTACCATCTGGTTGTTACATAAACATCACTCACTTCTATTAGGCAAATATTGTGGTTAAGGCTGCAAAAACTGGACCATACACACATGTGCTGACTCAGGTTAAGTAATGCCAACCCTTAATTTTGACCATTACAATCCACTAAAGTTTACATTACAAGTTTAGTGTCAGCTTTGATGCAATTTTCAAAGTCTCATCGTGTGGTTCCCTCTTTCCATTTCCTTTAGTACACTCACATCCTGCAGTTTCACACATCTTATACTGCACCTTGCACTGAAACAATGTCAAGAAAATGTTTAGAAAATTCTATTCTCTACTAAATATTTCAATTTGCAAAATTGAAAACATTCTATCACAACCAAATAAAATACTGGGTACACCAAGTTTATATTTGTTGTTATATTTAAGCCACTCCTTGGGAAATTCATATACTACTGATAATTTCACCTGTTCATTAATATTTTGATTTGATTCAATCAAAAAAACATCAAGTAACAACTATGTTTTCCCTCAGACACAGTGTGAGTCTCTCTGATACTGTTATCCTTCCATGAAAATTCACTTCTTGAAACATTCTTACACAAGAATTAGTGAAAATAACAAGTGCACTGTACCTTCAAGTGATATCTTACAAGACAGTAATCACAGTTTGCATATCATGTTATTCAACTCATGCTCTTATCACCCATAGAACTTTATAGTCCACAGGCTTCATTGTGTATCCACTTGATCAATACCTTAATAGCGATGCTGCCCCTGTTAGCATTTTCATGACAATGGTGGCATGCTTATCCTTCCACTTAGATCCATTTGTTCCAGTACCACCTGCTTGTTAAACATTGCTCACTTCTATTAGGCAAATATTGTGGTTAAGGCTGCAAAAACTGTTTTTAGTGCTTGCTACCTCACCTGTTGATGAGATAGCTCCATTTGATGGCTATTATTTACAATGACTTTTCCAGTATCTCTTCAGTTTTCTAGGGTGGCTTATACCACAGCTGGGTTTGAATTATTCTGGTTGATACAAGTCTGGATACCCCATAAAGACTGCTATATTCAGTCTCAGACTCACCAGACTCTATGCCACCAATAACTCTCTCAGACAACCATCTCTTCTTTGTGACCAACTCTTCCTTTTGCTCCTTTTTATAAGTTTGTATAAAGTACAATATTTCAAGTAAAGGACACTATACACTTCATCAGAACTTTTCTCCTTTCTATCCATTCTGTGGTATATCCAGGTAAAAACTGAATTAATTTTATAGCAATGAGATAGGTCCACTTAATTAATTTTAGTGACAGGAAATTTAGTTGAGATACCGATTGTGAAGTAATGTTATATCTCTGAGGTACTGAGTCATAACAGTGAAATAAAGAGACTGGACACAGTGTAAAATACAAACAAACAATCGCTTATTAATTCACAAACATAATATGCGTACTTGCTTTTGATACAAGGCAGTCATTTCTACTGGGTCTTCTGTATTCAACTATTCAATTTGCATCTATGTAGCTGACTAAATCCAGCGTTATTTACACTGCAAGATACTTCGTATTTACCCAGAGTGACTAATGATACCACACGAATGGTCATTCTTATTCAGTAACCCCGAGATATCACCCGGATAACCACTGAAAGACACTCCTGTCAAAGTCTTGTACAAAGTGTGGTATTGCAGCCTTTAACCCTCACCACGGGCAAAACGTAATGGCTTTCTCTGCGTAGTGTATGTGAGACCTGTACGTATACAGAATAAAGGATAAATTCAGAATGAATATGATAATATTTACAAACAGACAGAAATGCGTAGTATATTTATATTCCATAATATTGTGGGATAAACCTTGAGATGTACCTAATAAAATAAAATTTGTTTAAAACTATATTTATTGAATGCAAACATTGACTGTGGAGTTGGTCTCAAAGTTTATTTTGGTAAGTTTTCCCACAGTTTAAAACAGATTCTCACTCGATATATATATATATATATATATATATATATAT